TATATCCTTGAGTCTTCTCTTACCGGAGTTCAATCAGAACCTTATCCTCCCAAATCTAAGAAGACTGAACAGGAAGAAGGAGAAGAAGGTGATGTTACCGACGCTGTTGATGAGCTTGAAGATGAAGAAACCATTGTTCATGTAGGTATATCTTCCCAAGGTATGTTTATATTTGGGTTTGTCTCATCTCTTCTGATTCAATTCCGATTTAAGTTTCTCTTCTCTTATATTTCTATTTTTTCCCTAATTAGCATAGGAAAGGCTCCAATCCTACACCCGTTGAGGCTTCACTCATGCAGAGATTCATGTTTCAGCTTTGTAAAGGCGTGGCGAGATGATTCGGAGGCAAGCTCTTTTCCCTGGTGATTCAGAGTTTCAGCAATTGCTTCACATTTTCAGGTAATTGCTTCTTCTTTCGATCCAGCTTCCACCATTCTGAATATCAGTTTATTGATAGTTTTGATGTCAGTGTATCAAGCTTATTGATGGAACCTGCTAAGCCCCTCCCGTTGGAAGAAACTCCATTCAAGCTTGTTCAAGAAGTGAAAGATCTGAAAGATTTGGCCGCTAAATTGCGTATTGTTGAAGAGTTTGAGATAAATGTTTGTTTGACTATAATGTCTGTTGGTAGACGCAGTAAAGAATTTGATAATTCTGTCATTATGTCAAGAATCTCTTGTAAATGATATTAAACTACCAATGTGATAGATATGTCAGCATTTTGGTGTGGAAAACATAAAGTTTCCTTACTTAAAATTCTCTCTTTGATTAGATAGGCCCAGAACAGCTTAACTTGTACCTCTACCCTCTCTTAGAGTTGTTTTTTTTTGCTATGTTTAGGTTGATCTGGAGCAGAATACGTACCGGTCTTTTAAGGATCTACATACTTGATGCAAATTTAAAACAGAACAGAGGATAACATAGTTGATACATTCAAGCTCCGTGTTCACGTTGGTCCTTACCTAAGGGAGCTTTTCAAAGACCCTAAAAAGAGAATGGTTTTTTCCTGGGATACATTAATTCCTGAATAAAAGGGCTAAAAGATTTGTTATGTACTGATTGTTAATTTAATCAGGTAATGCATGGAGTAGATCGAGATATTGTTTCGCTTCAACGGGATTTTGGCATGGTCTACCTCGAGACCTTTTGTTTCCTGATTGGTTTTCCTTTTGTCTTGGTTGCAGCTCAAATCGCTGGGCTTCTCATACGACTGGGACCGTGGACTCTCTACAACAGAGCCAAACTATTATAAATGGACACAATGGATTTTTCTTCAGCTTTATAAGAGAGGTTTGGCATATCAGGTCAAGAAAATCATTGTCTAGCTCACAAGTTAAAACCTTTTCATTTGCATTTAGAAAAGCTCTTTGAAAGATTTGTAAATTCAGGCTGAAGTACCTGTGAATTGGTGCCCGGCTCTTGGTACTGTTTTGGCTAATGAGGTAGTTATGGATGGTGTTAGTGAGCGTGGATGCCACCCGGTTATAAGAAAGGTAATAACTTTCACCATAGGGGAATCATTATATCTGTTTTTCGTCTTCTGAAAATCCGAAATTCGTCTGTTTTGAAAGCTCTCATGAATTCTACAGTGACATTGTTTATTACCAAGCGGCCGATGAGGCAATGGATGCTGAAGATTACTGCGTACGCTGATCGTCTTCTAGAGGATTAAGACGAGCTTAAGTGGCCTGAGAGTATAAAAGAAATGCAGAGAAACTGGATTGGAAGATCAGAAAGAGCTGAGCTGGATTATTTGATTCTTGATAGCGAAGGGTCGAGAAACTGACAAAAAGATTACAGTTTACACCACCAGACCAGATACCCTTTTTGGAGCAATGTATGTTCAACAGACTACAATCATATTTTATGATTCAGAATTCAAGATTCTTGATCTTGATTGTCTTATATGTTCTGCAGTTACATGGTTGTGGCACCATAGCGTCATTTGTTGTCTTACTTTGTAACTGAAGAAGAGAAACAACACATATAAAACTTCGTTTATACATTTTCAATAAAAATCAAATTATCTTTCATAATAAAAATCAAATTATCTTTCATTTATGTTGTACATAAAAAATTCAATTTTAAATAGAGTTTTGTTTAATGTTAAAACTCCATATGTGGTTTCATTACTTATTAATTTAATTTACTAATAGATTTAGTTATACTAATTTCACTTTGAAAATTAGATAAATAAACAAAAAAAAACATTTAACCTCATCAAACATCTATTAAGAAAAAATCGTGCATGTAAACGTTAAAAATTCAATACAGATTGATACTTAAAATATGTTCACTATACGTGCGTATGAAGTAAGTATTGAAAATATTAAACATCTTATTCTTCAAATTTTCAAAATAAAAGAAATGCAGTAAAATTAGAAACAATTTTCAAGCAATGAATAAATATATATATAATCGGGTGATATAGGTTGAAGCAAATAAAGATAAACTGCAAAGTTAAAAAAAAAAAAAAAAAAGACGGATCAAAATAGATCATTTTTTCTTAGTTAAATCTTTAAAAAATTGTGATACAAAATAATTAAGAAAAATTGTAAAATAAAGATATCAGGTTATAAATAAAATGGAAAATACTTTTTATAAGAAGAAATTCAATTAGCAACTTCTATCAGTTTATGACATATAAATCAAATCTAAATACACATGTTAAACCATCAAAATTTATTTATTTAGAAAATATACACATACAAAAAAAATTAGAAAAAATTGTAAAAGAAAAACCCATTTGTATGCTATATGATATTTATGAAGAAAAAATAGCTCACCAACCCTTAAATATTTAATTCTTCATACTAAAAAAATCAACAAAGAAGTAGAGGAGAAGAATACAATAATAACTAAATTTAATTCTTACATATATATTCATATACAGGAATTCACAATAGAATATAAATTTCGATAAACATAATTTTTTATGATATACATAAGTCAATTTTGATAAACACGACTTTTCAAGATATTTGTAATTCATCATATAGTAAATGAGTATCAACTTCCATTTAACATATAAAAGTTTTTCATCAACATTTTCAAGTCTCATTACTAATAAATATAAAATTAAAACTGAAATTTATTAAAAGATATTCACATGATAATATAGAGTGAACATAAAAATTTAACCCAGTTTAAAGCAAATTTAGAGTGTTTAAAAAGATGATAAAGCTTTCTTATTTTATATAAGTTTGAGAAAAAATATAAGAAAATATTTAGTATGATAAATTTAAGAATAAAAATACAAACAACATTTACAATAAATGAAAATAATATATATTAATTTAAACAATATTTATGTATTATCATAGTTAACAATTACAAAAAGAAATTATTTGTATATTTAAAATAAAATTTTATATTAATTTTATATCTAAAAAATATATCATAAAATGTAAACTCGCGTGTATACGCAGGTAATCACCTAGTATAATATAAAAGATGGTCAATTCTCTCCAGTTGAGTGTCACATCAGCATTGGAGAGAGTGACACCTGTCATTTTAAATTTTATAATTAATAATTTATTATTTTAATGCAATCAAAATTAGATTAATTAATTATTTACTTTATAATTATATGCTAATTAAATTTATATATACTTTATAAATGCATAACATAATTTATATTTTCTGGTGACAAAACATTTATCACATACATAGTTATTATCAAAAAAATATATACATATGTATTATATATTTATTCAGATACACAATATTTTTAGGAATAATTCATATATAATAAATCATCATTAAAAATTTAAGTTACTTATTCAATAATAAAATATGTAATAATTGATGAGTACTCTTTTTAATATAGTCAAAATATGTAATAATATATTAATTATAATATATTTGTAAACTATAGTCAAAAGAAGTTGCATCATCAGGTTAAAATAATAGGACGACTGGAAATCAAAACCAAAAAAATATTATCATTGTTCATAAAAAAGAAGTATACAATAAAATAAATTATAAATAAACTTATTCACAAATTATATTTCGAAATAAAAATCTGCGCATCGCGCAGGTACTCATCTAGTAGTAAATAATAAGTAAAGAAAAATTAATTTGTAGACTTAAAAATTATTAGCTATTGGTAAGAAACTTTTAAACTTCTTTGACTAAATATTTTTTAATTAATTATAGATTCAAATAAATTGAAAAATTATACAGATATAAAAGAAAATCAAATAAATTGGGATGAAAAATCCTTGATTATTAATCAAAATGAATCAGAGTGAATATATGATACTTTAGTAAGATATTTTACAAAATTAAATAATATATTTCTACTTAAGAGGGTATTTTTGTTGAGAACTTCGCATATAAATTCTAAACTTTTATTTTATTTGAGAGCTTATATATTGTTACAATCTAAAAATATATTATAAAAAATTTTAAAATCAAATCAAATATATTTATGTGATTTATCTATTAGTAATCTAAGTTGTCACCAGTAATAAAAATTAAAATGAAAAAAAACAATTTTAAAAACTTAAAAATATTGAATATAATTTCTTATTTAAATTGGCTAATTATTTTAATTTTTAAAAATATATAAGTAAATTAAAATAGACAATACATAAATTCATAATATAAAACACATATTAATCACCAATTTTACAATAATCATAAATGTTTTTAAAAATTAACTATAAAAACACTAAAGAATTTTTTTATAACCAAACATTTTATAAAGAAATTTATTATTATATTTTAAGTAATGTTTAAATTATTTAATTAAAATATTTATTAAACAATTTATGATATACTACGCGCAACTGAAAAACTTAGTAATCTTTAAAAGCGGCTATGATATAGAACGATAATATTTATTTCACTAAGGCATACATATATATATATATATATATAGCTTTTAAAGATTAGGCATCTAATTTTCATGTCCATGAATATAATGATTGTGAAGGTTCATCTTGTTCTTGGAAAATTACACAATTATTTTTGCAAGAAACTGAAATCTTACAACTGCCACCGACATAAATATATGATCATTCTTTTCCTTTATGAATTTTCATCTTGAAGACTAACCATGAACAAACGTTTTATACGTCAAAGATTGCAATGTTATTATTATCCGTTACAACACGAACATTTGTTTTTATCGCTAGATACAACACAAATTAACAGTCTGAAAAACAAGAAAAGAGAAACATTTATCGATGAAAATTTGATGTGGAAATCGTTGTCTGATATTCGGATTTTAAGAAGCTTGTTGTGGTTGTGGTTGTTGGTGCTGGATTCCAATGTTGTGCTGGCCATACTTGGTATCCTGCGCTCTGCTACCAAACTTCATTCGAGCATTCTCTATCTTCTGATCCGATCCAGATCCCATCACGTGCCTAAACACATCCACCATATATCAATAATTCTCCTATATTCAAACACTTAATAATTATATATGGCGCGTATACCAAGCTAGGGCTTAGTACCCTAGCTCACATTTTGTGTTTTGGGACATAAAATTAATTACTTGTAAAGCCAAGAGAACGCGGTAATGGAGGCTATGCCAAAGCCACCAGCGGCGAGGAATCCTGTGATGATGAGAACGACGGTGATCGCGGCAGGGACCAAGACGGGGCTGAAGAGGATTAGTAGAGGAGTGGCTACGGCGAGTGCGATCACTGTCCCGGCAAGCGTTAAGCCAGAGAGGACTAGGAGTGAACCACCAGCTGCAACCGCGGTTGCTACCTTCACCATCTGCGTCGACTTGGGACGGTGTTGGGTACTGTCTCCGGTTAGTATCGTTTGATGGGTTCTTGTGTAGTCCGCCATTAATGATTAATTCCTGTTATGATCCGTCCAACACAAAAAGTAGAGATCAGTAGAGAGAGAGAGAGAGGAGAAAAGATTGTAATATATTGGGAGTAAGCAATGATGATATTATATATAAAGGAGATGGGGAGAGAGCTGCTTGAGGCGTGTAACGTGTCGTGAGTGTCTTCATGCAGCCGTGGCATGTGTAAATGAGAGTAGTAGAGATGATTCTGCTTCGCGACACGTACTTTCGGCGGTTTTGTTTGTTGTGTTAAGGCGTAAAATAGGACCAAACGGTACACAAATGGATCGGGACATTGTAGTTATGGGCTTGATGATCCTTGATCCCCACTCTATAAATTCAAGTTTGGAACTTAGCTAGCCCATAGAGAGTAGTAGAGGGCCTGGAGGCTCGAAGTTCGATCATTGCTCCGGCGTCGGATCGTGGTCAAAGCTAGCTTGAGCTTGATTTCAAAATAAAAGCTTTTCTACATTAATGTATGTGATGTGAGTTAGGAGTGGGCAAGAACCGGATATTTTGGATTTTGGTGGTATTAGCTCTAATACTAATCGGATATTAGATGTTCGGATATGTATTAAAATTCTAATTTTTATCTGTATATCTATATGTTTCGTAAACAAATTAAAACATATATAAACTTAAGAATGGGCAATTTCCATATTTACAACAAATATAACAGGGAAGCTAAATTTTTTCTACCTTCTAACATTTTTTATTTGATCTTTCCGATTTTGCTTTTTAGAAAAGCTTTCTTGAATGTTTTTTTTTGCAATATTTTATGATATTTTACGAAGGTCTTCCAAATATTAAAATTCAACATCGTTTTATATAATTTAAAAATATTTTCTTAAATATTTAAAAAATTCCTGAATTGTTGATGGGCTTTCTGAATTGTGGAATAACTAACTAAATTATGGTAGGGCTTCCTAGATTTAAATTGTTGTATAAATTAACAAAAAAATTAATTATACGATTTACGAAGGCATTCTTAAATACATATAATAACTTCTTTAATTTATACATTTCAGGAAAGTCTTCCTAAAAGTTTAAAATATCTTCATAAATTTACTCTCATCTCCTTCCTCACCTCTGCGATATTTAAACCCTAATTTCCGCTGATTTTCTTTTTTTCACCATTGTTGTTGTTTTACCTCGGATTTCTTGAGTTTTTCATCCAATTATATCAGATTTATCTTCCACTATATGATTTTGAGCTTTAAATCCCGAAAACATTTTTCCATCAAAAAAACTCATAAGATCTAAAAGATTCACAATCACAAATCACAATCAAAGGATTCTAATTTCAGATCAGTCTTGGTCATTGATACCTTTGTTTATACACTATTTTTCTTCACATTTTATTAACTAATGTATTGTCTAACTAAGATTAATATGGTCCAATCTTTACTGAATAATGTTATGCAATGAATATTTTTAAGTGTTAGTGTATATTATGAACAAAATTTTAGGTTATGTGTATCTGGGAGCATTTCTCTTAAGAAAATCATCTATTACTAATAAATGTTGATGCTAAATGCCTATAAGGATGTCCACATAGGATTTAAAGATTCAATTCTATTGGTACACATCATCATTATTTTTAGTTAATTATATATTGTATATTAAAATTAATAAATTTATTTTAATTGTTATAAGGAAAATTTCTAAATTTTAATTAATTTTGTTTTTGTTGTTATTAGGAAAGTTTCTAAATTTTAAGTTAGTTATTAATGAAAAAGAGTTTTGAAAATAGATCATATTTTTCTATTAACAATAAAAAGGTAGATTAACATATGAATGGATTATGAAAGAAAAATCATATATATTAAACAAAATTATTAAAAACTGTATTTAAAATCATAATTAAATTATTTAAAAATTTTAATCACGACAAATAATTAAAATCTGTGCTAACTTAAAATATATTAGTTGTGGTCTATGTTGATGTCTTAGGCCAATGAGAGCGTCCACATATGACATATATACTCAATCTGGTTAGTCTATATCAGCGCTTTTTATTAAACATAAAAAATTAAAAATATTATTAATAATTTAAGTAAATTAGAACATACAAAAATATAAAATTGTCATAATAGAATGGAAAATTAAGATAACTTTTTTTAACTAAATAAAATAAATTTATGTCAAAAGTCTAAATCTGTTGTAAAAATAAAATGAAAACTCACAAAAACTAAACTAACAAAAACAAATATGTAAATTAATAACGAAAAAGTTAAATTAAAAAAAAATTAGCATGTATATTTTAAATGAGTAATTTATTTAGAAAAAATATTAAGATTAAATTTTCATATAAACATATAAAATTGTTATTTAAAAATATCAATACTACAAAAAAAATATTCATCTTAAGTTATCAAAAAAGAAAGTCATCTAAAACTTATAATTTTGGGAGAAATATTTAAAAAATTAACACAAAAATCTTAACAAACCAAAAATAATACTTTATGCTAATTACTTAAGAAAGCAATATAAAAAAATGTTTAACTAACAAAAACCAAAATATAAATTATTTTTTACACCATGTCAATACAATTAAAATGAAAGTCTATATCTAAAAAGTTAAATTAACAAAAAAGAGGATATTAACTCAATACATATGTTATTTATTTAAAAAAATCAATATAAACAAAATAAGTAAGGGAATAAAAAAAACTTAAATAATACTAAAAACTTAACTAACAAACATAGTATAAATATTTAACCTAATTATTTAAGAAATCAATATTAAAAATTGATTAACCAAAAAGCTAAAACGAAAATTAATTTTTACAAAATATTTTTTTTTTAAAACACTTAAAAATATATTGACTTGATATCTAACTAACTACTTAGAAAGTTTATATAAAAATATTTAACTAACAAAAAAAATTATGTCTTCAAAATATCAATATTTTAAAAACAAAGGTGTGTTAAAATAAAATAAAAATCAATATCAAGGGAGGTAAATTATCAGAGGAAAAAATAGTATAAAGTAAAATTAGCTTGATATTTAGGCTAACTACTAACCAAATATTAACTAAAAAAAGAAAATGATGGTATAAGCTTTTGAAAGAAGTTCACTTAAAAATTTAGAATAATCAGTTATAGCATGTTAAAATAGCATTTTAATTAATTTTAAATGTAAATTTAACAAAGAAAAAGCATTTATGTAAAAGATATTAGATTAATATATATGCTACCTATTTGAAAAATCAATAACAAAAGAGATTAATTAAAAATATATGTTTTAAGTATATCAAACCTGCAGAAAATTAGATAATTAAAATAAAATATAAAATTACCATTTAAGATATTTAAAATAACAAAAAACAAGATATAAGAAGAAAATTACTTTGAAATATAGTTCCAAAAACATTCATGATTTCTAAAATATTGGTGTTGACTATGAATAAACATATAAAGATTTAATAGGTTATACAAATTTCTAAATCAAACATATTATTTAAATTTACAAAAATTAATACCTTGGTTGTGTCTGGTTAAAAAATTAACAAAGTAAAATACTACACAAGTAACTTTACATTCAAAATATAATAAGTAATAAAGTCTTATTTGTATATATATTTACTGCTTATAACTTAGTCGACATGAACAATACATGAGTAACATCTTCTAAAATTTTATTTAAATAATATAATATAAAAAAGTTATGAATCAAATTCAAATGAGAATATATGAAAATAAAATATTCAAATCAAAACATGAATAAACACACAAAAGATAAAAAAAAAACAGTGATAATGTGAAGTCTCAACATCATCTTACATGTTTAAAAACAAATATTAACAAATAGTTGACTGCAAATAAAATAAATCTTATAAACTGAATAGAGATATAATCTAAAATTCATAGAAAATCTGGTGGAAAAACAAAAAGCAGCTTTACACGATTAGTGTAGCTTACTAACAAAAGTAAATCTGAATTAACATATATCATATATTATATATGTATATGTACACAACATTAATAAGATATTTAATAAAGAAACTAAATATTTAAACATATAAATCTTTTAAAAAAGAAACCATATAAATCATAAGAATACAAAACAAAACACCAAAAATTTAGTAAGAAAATCATTTTCTAAATCAAACATATGCATATCAAAATTGGATAATTCTTTAGGTGTCATTACTATGATTTTACTTAATAAGATTTATAATTTTATAAACAAAAATAGAAAATACTACATATTATATTTTATTTTTTTTATATAAACGAAAATTTCTATAAATATATTATAGTTTTGATAATTTAAAAAATATTAGCCAAAAAATTAAACCAAATTATTAATACAGATTCACACGTAACACGAATTAAAAGCCTAGTATAATATATAAAATTTTTTTAAAATTTATAAATAAAAATAAAATAAATTACACATTATATATTAAATTCTTTTATATAAATAAAAATTTCTATAAATATATATAATTTTTAATAATTTTAAAAATAATATCTAAAATAAATAAATTAAAATATTAATACAGATTTACGCATAACGCGAATTATATACCTAATAATATAAAAACTTCCAAAATTTAACTAACAAAGGAAACTAATTCAACCGTAAAGCCATCCTTAAACTCTTTAGGTTAGAAGCTTCCAAATCTTAAAAAAAAACGTTTTGAAAAACACAAGCACATCGTACGTGTATTTTTTTTGTTTTTTGTCGTCAAAGAAATTTCATTAGCCCATATAGGGCAAAACAAGTTTTCAAGCCCATAAGCTTTTGAGTACAGAAAATCAAATAGGCCCAAACATGTTGAACAGAAAAGATGTAGAAACAAAACACGTGTCCAACACGTGTAACACAGAGAAGAGTTTCGCCGCCTCAAGCTGTCACCGCGAAACACCGGCGAGTCAGAAAATCCGGCAAGAAAATTCTCCCCAGTCCCGGTCACCGTCTCTGTATATTATCAGCTTTGTAGCTTGAAAACTCGATTGCTTGCTCCTTCATCGATTTGCCGAATCAATTGAAATCAATCTCAAGCACCAGATTTGATGAAGCTGGATAAAAACTCAAATTGATCGGAAAGCAGTCCTTCGCCGAAGCTC